GATATTGGTCCCTAGATTATGTTCACCGAGTTTCATGCAGATCGGTCAAACTTCCTAGGAAGAGATCGATTTTAGGTGTTTTTCAAAAAATTCAAAATGGCGGAAAATCTATATAACCGGAAGGTATGGGTTCTTGAGGCAAATTTGTTCCTCATGAGGAGAGGCATCTCTGTGCAAAGTTTCATGTCTCTATGACATACGGGGCATGAGATATGCCCATTCAAAGTTTGCAATTTCAGTCGGTTGCTATAGCGCCCCTCTTTGGCCAATTGATGTAATATTGCTTCATTCGCATCCTCCCATGACCCTCTACCACTGTGCCAAATTTCACATGGATTGACCAAGTCAGTGAAGAGAAAAACGTGGAACAGACACACAGACACACACACACACACACACACACACACACACACACACACACACGCACACACACAGACAGAGTTTTCGTCATTATATAGTAAGATAAGATAAAGGGGAGATTCTCCATCCACTTGCATTTTATTTTCAATATCCTAGATAAGCAAATGTACATGGTATGATGTTTTCTGAGTTGTGTGTCATGATCAAAGACACTTCGAAATCTAATTTAAGTGGCCAGAGCATCCAGGCTAAGAGGCATAGAATTCTGACTCCGACCTCCAAATGTGGTTTGCAAAAACTGCATTTCCTGTTTGTTTTTTTCCCAGACTTTCTACAATCTGGGTATGCTTAAAAAACAGATTTGGGCCGCAGTCTTAACAATGCCTTACTGACTCTTAAATGTCCGAGTGAAACAAAAAGATCTGCTAGTGCAACCTGTTTTCTGAACTTTCTCAAATGGAGTGTAACTTCTCTTAATTTCTTTCTTTCTTTCAAGGTACTGACACTGACAAACATTTGCCTTTCAGGCTCAACAATAAACAGATATTATTTTCTTCTCTTTTTCCCCTGTTGAATTGGGAAAATAACTTTTAATAGAATACTCTTACTCTCATTGGATTTAGCTTTGAAACAGTCAATCTGAGCATTTGTAAAGGGGGTTGGGTTGCTACTGGGCATCAGAAGGAGGGAGACTAATGAAAGCTTGATGAGGATGCTTCTCTGAATCCACCAGCATGATTAGACTTTAATTACCGAGGGCCACCTCGACATATTCCCTATAATTGGAAATACCTAAGCACTTGGCTGCTCATGGCATGAAACCAAAGAATCCATGGTACACAACCCTTCGTAGGACAAGCCTCGTTCTCATTTCAGATGAACTCTACTCTGCATGGGCAATGCAACAGGAGATTTTGAGGCATTTTGGATTGAAGCTTGTCTTTATGCAGATTAGTTGCTAAGTAGTTCTGTGTAATCTTTGTAAGGAGTTATCACCCAAGTTAGTGACACAGTGCGCTGACAGTCTAAGCGTGGAACAAGATATTATGAGAGAGGCTTTAAACTTGTAGCTCTGCATCCCAGCATGCTGGCATCTCCACATTGCCAGATGTGACAATAACATCCCTATATGGCTGCCAAACGCCTACAAGACACCCACAGGCATTGGCAGCTCCCTTGGTGAAATCTTCTGTTGCACAACCACATGAAAAAAAGGGGCCTTATGTTCTGCTGGTTAAGTGAATCACTGCCTCGCCTGAAGAATTGGTCTTTCTTTCATTACAGTCGCTTCAATTCAGCGCCGTCACACCATTTATACCTTCCTTCAATGGCGTGAGCTACAGCTGAATCATTGTATATAAAACAAAGACAACATTTCTGAAATGTGCTCAGGTGTTTCAGTGCTGAATAGACAGTAGACGATTCAAGGGCAAGCTGATAAGCCTGCAGGATACCGAACAATGAGACAGTATATTTGAAAAGTCGAGAAAAAAAAACTGTTCTGTGGTTGTAATTTTAGTTACCATTAAATGTTCAATTTGCTCCTTAAAGTTGAATTCACATTTCAGAAAAAGTTGATTGTTAGAACCTTAAATTATTGCATTTAAATTGGCTTTCTGATACCACCAGATACCAAAACATAAAAGCATCTCTATGCACATAAACTGCTGTCACCCATGCATGGAATAAATAGTGTGTACACATATTAAGGTCAAAGATAAAAGCCTGAATCCGAATGCTGTACATGCATGTTTAGAATAGCATAACAAGATAATATCATGGGATGTTTTAATCCTATTGTCCTACAAGATTTACAGAGATGCTATCATTTGATGCAGATTAATGGAAACAACAGAGGAGGATGGGGTGACTGAGCACATGTAACCAAGCATTCAACAGCCGTGTTTATCAACTCAGCTTTTCTATTATTCAGATTATTCTGCTTGGGATCCCCGGTGTAATTAGGCGGATAACAAATCCACCTCCTTCCACAGTGTGTCTGTGAATTGATCATATTCACCAGCTGTCAAGTGCCATTAGAAGAGAGGAACATGTGGAACATGTGCGTGTCTTAATTTCATTTTTCAATTCTAACTGTGTGGTCCAGCTTAGTTTAGGGATATATTATGTTCCACCATTCCTAAGTACGGCCTTAGGGTGTGTTCACACCAAACAGGAAGCAAATTTTTCATGCAAAGTCAATGCAAAGACGCAATGTGAATATGCATGCGAGTTGAAATGTTCTAATTTGAGAGAAAAATTAGTGGGACGCTGTGTTGCGAAAGCCTATTAGCATTGAGATCTGGCTGAGATTCTCCTGATGTCATTAATGAATCAAAAATGGAGGACAAACCCACTGTCGCCATCTGTGGGCACGTGGATCTCTATGACACCACGTCAGTATTGTACAGCAAAAAAAAGGAGGGAGATCAGGGAAGAGTTAGCAAACCATAGAAATTATAACGTACTTAGATGTTTAAAATATCGTCAACCCGATTTTCAATCCAATCAAAATTTAAAATCTGTTGGATGTAAGGGTCCACTATCTCCCTGATGTCATATTCCTGCCAGTACCAGCTGGGTTACTTGAGTCAGCCATTTTGTTGAGTTGCTTCTCAGCAAAAATGATAATTTATGTTGGGCTTTTATTGTGAAAGGTAAAAACAGAAGGAGTGAAGCAGTAATGCGTTGCCATGAACAATAAAGTGCTCCTGTCTTGGTTCACGCTTGTTCAGAACACACAGAGACTTCATGTTCAAACTACTTGATTCCAGCTATCGTTTAACACTAGCGTTAGCATTAGCTGCCTCTCTTGGTTAGTTAGCACAGCCATTAGCACAAAAAGGTGAATATTCGCAACATGTGAAATACTCCAAAAAACTAGTAGCTATATTTGTGCATGTAACGCAGGGGAAAAAATCACATTTGGTGTGAATACACTTTCACATTGCTGACTGTGGACCCCAAAGGTCTTTGCACACTGAGTCCGTTTGTATCAGATGTGTTTTTTCACAACGGGCATTTCAAACTCAGTGTACAAACACATCAATACAATGTGAAGTCATATTTATTTTTAGATGTACAATAATTTTTCACGATAAAAATGGACTCAATGTGCAAAAGCCTTTAGTCTTATTGGGAGTGCAGCAGACTCAAAGCATAGATATATAAAGAGAACTGGATACAGCGTTGGAGGCGGGCCCTGTTCATTCCTATGGAAGTTGCTCAGTGGTGAATTAAGCCAATAAAGTTGGACTTCCTGGGTGTAAAATTACCTGAATTTTCCGCATCATTGGGCCCACAGAGCAGGTGCACGAGAGACGTCCATTAGCCATGCTGGCTACTTCCAGTTTAGTCTAATTATTTAATCATTCAGCTCTTCTAGACCTCCGGAATGTTATTGGACCAGTTGGATCAAATCCCGATAGAGGATCTTTCACAATGTAAGTCTACAGGAAGAGTTTTTTTGGGCCCAATATATCATGTGACAGACCTGGAAGTTGTAATTACACAGTTTGGCCACTATGTCAAATAGACTTTAAAGTCTGGAACACATCCTCGGGGCCTGACTCAAACTTCAAAAAAAAAAAAAAGGATTGCCTGCAGATGTCATGCACGCATGACACCGCATTCGTGAATCTGTGTGTTAACCTTTATTAATAAGTGCTGATGCAAATGTGCTCCTTTCCCTGCTGAAACACAGAACGACCATTCATTTCCGCTGTGAACTCACATACTACCTCATTTCCATCACATGGAATGGAAATGACGATTGCAAAGCGCTCATGGGACGTGCGACCTTTATTAAAAAAATGACTTCATCGTTTCTAATTTCATAACGTGTCTGTGGGATTGACGTAATAGGTGTAGTTAGGTAGATAATATGGGGCTGTCTGTAATTACAGATAAAAGAACATTAAGTTCGACAGATACATGTAAGCTTCTTGATGAGGGTGCCCATTTCAATTAGGGAGCATTAAATGAAACAAAAAACCTTATGGGAGTTTCTCAGTGCCAGACCCAAGGAGAATTAATACACTGCATAGGGCCATTTACCAGGGAGTAATTACTCCCTAATTAGCCATTAGTTATTCGATTACCCTTTTATCAGCTAGTCATGGTCAAAAGGCAGGAATAGCGGATAAGTCATCACCTTGGTTGGTAACAGAAGTAATTAACATGCCGTAGCTCCCTCGGAGGGAGACAACGAGGAAATGCATTCAGGCAAAGTAAAGGCATTCTGGCCCGTTTCCTGCGTCTGATCAAAAGGAACGATAAATCAGAGGCTTTTTTTATTCATCCAGGGGTGGGTTGCTGCAAATAGCAGAAAAAAGGAGGCTGTAAATTAATTTTCCTGCCCAATTTAACCCAGTTGGTTTGGTGATTTAACTCTAAAAAAGGCAGCAAACCTAAACCAGACAGTCCTTTAAAGTTGTCTGGTCAGTGAGAATAAAAGCAGAAAGGGTATGTGAATGTACTCCGGGCACTCATTGTTAGCAAACTGAATGGCTCTGTGATTGACACTTGATAAGAAATCAGAAAATATTCTGGAAGAAGATGGACGATTAGGCACATATTGTTGCTGGACGAAGCCACCCATTGACAGACCAGCCAAGAAACCATGAGTACTCCATGCCAAACTGCTTCTACCATTTATTACACATAATTACATTCTTAAATAAAAACGATTCACCGAACAGTTCCTTGCATAGAGATATTACAATACCAATTTAAAAAAGGAATTATGAAACAAACCAGTAACAAAAATAAATCTTTCTCATTTTTCCATAATAAAGAACATTATCGTACCCATACATCATAATATACAAATGATAAATTTGAAACACTTTGTACAGAGAAAAAAAAGGAGAAAGACAACGGAGGAAAAAGGTGGAGAAGGGGGCGAGGGAGGGGAGGTGGAGGGGAAGGGGAAGGGGGAGTCGGACAGAGGAGAGGAGTTGAAAGGGATCATATCTGAGAAAATGGAAGAGGGAGGAGGGAGGAGGGAGGAGGGTGGAGGCGATGAGGGAATGCTGGTAGAAAAAGGGGGTTCGTTTGATTTGAAATTCAGACCTGGTGGAAACAGAGGTGGTGCCACACATAGTAATGCGTGCCCCCCCCCCCTCTGCCAAGAGCAAGAGCTGCAGTCTGGATCTCTGACTCTCACAAGGTGACATGAAAAACGATGAAAAACACACAAGGAGAACGGAGAGAGAGTGTGTGTATTTGTGAGAAGGTGTTTGTGTGATTCAGGATGTGCTTGTGCATGTATGTTTTCGTATGATTGCGGGTTCAGGGAGTGTCTGCATGCATTTGTGTTTTTGTATGTCTGCAATGTGTGCAAATCCATGTTGCATGTAGGCATGAGTGTGTACATTTGTGCTAAAAAAACAGCTACTATACAGACTTTGTGATCAGTGTTTCATCAACCGGGGGTTGTCGTGTGAAAGTGTAGTGTACAAGCGGACAGAAAACATCAGATATGCAAGTGATTTTGCCTCAAAAAATTCAGAGTGCAAATACAAACAGACGAAGAACACACAGGCACAGCAGAATTGACAATCATTCATTAAGATGACACAGAACTGAACCGCATCCTTTGAGACAACATGGAACAACCTTTTCCAGAAAACACATTCACATTTGAAATCTTTGAGCTTGAGAAAGGCCAATTTTTTTTTTTTTAAATTGTCTTGTAATTTGAGTACTTCCATGTCTTGGCTCCTTAAAGTCTCAATGAACATGAAAAACAACACATTCAGTGTTTCAGTCCAAAATCCTCAGCTTTCTATGATTGGTACAGAACATGAACAACAACAAAAAAACACTCTTGACATTCCCACACATTCGCAACCATTCAGTTCAACAGGAGAGTGCCCTGTTAAAATACTGAAACACACAAGTAGAGCTGCCATTGGTGATACAATTTTAACCCATTGGTTAAACTGCTATTCTTCATTTCATCTTCCACTTTCTGCTGAGCAGAAAAACCACAAACCTGCTCTGATATTCCCATCTGAACCAGATATTTTTATATCTTCTAGATAGAGCTGTTCTGATACCATCCACCCCTTCCCAGTACTTGTTCCGATACCTGATACTTGAGTATCGGCTGTTACCAAGTACTGATCCGTTGCCAGTGCTATATACTACTAACCTATTTCAGTTTGAAAAAGCCAAATAAAATCTGTTCTCATCACCTCAAAATATGACGCGCTAGGTCCCTTCTTGCATCACTTATGGACCCTCCGTAACAGTACGTCAGTTTAGTTACATGCATTGTGTCTTGATAAAATACACTTTCCACTAACAGGAAATGCACAGTTTTGCTCATTACATAAAGTAATTTTCAATATGAACTTACAACGTAGGTAAACACTTCCTTTTAGATTTAGATCCTTAAGTTTAGGCAACAAAAGTATGTGGTTAGGTTTAAAAATACATCATGTTTTAGCTTAACCTTCTGAGACCCTGCATATCATACCGCTGCAAAGGATGTCTAGGTGTGTTGTGCGTCTCTGACCACTGATTAAGCAACAGTATTTGACGAGTTGGGAGTGAGAACCGATGACTGACTGTGAGCACAGATCTACTGACACAAAGATGGGGTGAATGTAATGCTATTTCATTGCGCATGGCCTCTGGAATCAGTGCTGTTATGCACACAGCAACAAGACCTCGTCGTCAGACTCAACCCAATGTGTATTGGGATACATTGTGTACCCTGTAGGCTTCAGCTAACAGTTAACTACAACAACTCCTTTCAATGTGGATAAATGGATAAGTCATCAGAAAAGACATTCATTTAGTTTTGTAAATTTGCTGATCCATGCTGGATTACAGTGCATCTCAAAGAAAGCTACAATGGTGACTAAGTGGCAAACTTTTAAAGTTAGTTTCTAGACTGCAGGGTTCTGGAGATATTCTAAGAATATCAATGTCCTCAGGAGTTTTTGAGTTTATTACTAAATTATGTGGTATTGGATCGATACATAGACTTGAGTACTTGCCAATACCTGATCGGGCATTTGAGTATCGGAGGCTTTTCTGATACCGGTATCGGTATCGGAACAGCTCTATCTCTGCAAACCAAATCTCAATTTTTCAGTCAGTATCTATGACTTTCATTAATGCCAACAAACACAAAGAATGGTAGCATTTATAGTGTTGTAGCTGCAACCCTCGATGGCCAGTGAGAATTTCTGGTCTCCTTGGAAAAAGAAACCAGCAGTTTAAACTTGTACCAGTTGGTTTCTATTTTGGTCACTCCCTCCTGTCTTTGCAAGTGAAGGCCTGTCACCTGGATGTTCAATATAAAAGGGAGCTGGGCTTGTTTGCACGTTTAGACAGAAAGAGTTCAATATTTATGCAAGGCAGGAGCTTCTACTTCCAGAGCCGCAGACAGATCATGTCTAGATATGATTGAGCTGGGCTGTGTTCATACCCCGAAATTGAAATGCACCTCTGGTATACAGAGTGAAATCAATTTACTGCCTCTCTTGCCAAAAAGCAGACTGCTGTGTGCCTCAAAAGTATTAAAAGTCTTGTAAAATAAAGAATAAACACCTTGACATAGTTGTTCCCAATCATGTTCGTAAGAATCCTGACAATCTATTTCGTCCAAGCTGCCTGTTTGATTTGTGTGCGCTTGAGTTGAGTCGATGATCATCCCAAAATTAATTTTATTTGTGGATTAAAGACAGAGCAAATGCTAGATTTTATGCCTCTTTGTTCTGTCGGACAGAAGTCAGATCACCAAGGACAAATGTTAATTACAGTTTTCTAGGAGAGTATGTATGTGTCTCGTGTGTGGGTTTCACTTCACTGCAGTTTCATGAGCTGATGGGGCAGTTATCATTTGCTGACTGAGCAGATATGTTCCTCCCCTAACGCATTTCAGCCACCCACTGAAATCTGCACTCATGACCTCCCTGCTGGTCCAGTATGGCCAGTAAAATGTCAAAAGCTACCAGCCGTGACTAGCTAGTTATTCCAAGTCACTCCTAATGTGAAAAAGAGAAACTACCGTCAAAACACAAATGGTGTCTGGTATGATCTTACCAACCACACACAAGTGTTATCATGGGCCCAGAAACATGTACAGACTTACAACAGATACATTCACATTGATTTGCTCTGAGTAGAGCCACCCAATTGACTGAATTTGTGTCTTCCTACAAGTCCTTCCGTGTCCAGCAATATGCATTCAGACATATGTATGGTCAGGAAGTCAGCAGGAATGTTCTTAGATATGCATAGGGCCCGATTAGGAGAGCTGTTGAATGCTGCTTTTCTCTGTGATGGAGTCTGCGAGCTGCTAAATTAGAAGAGTTCTGCATGGGTGGTGCAAGCAAGACAAAAAAACCCTCCTCAACCCAGTGACTTGTTGGGTGCCAATCACTCTCAAAGGCCAAAGAGATCATTTCAGGCATCCACAATAGACACTTTTTTTTGGCTGCATCCATTTCCAATGTGTTCTTCAAAATGGTCTTTTCAATTGTCTGTTTTGAACAAATAGGAGAATCTTTTCTTAGAAACAATATAGCCTTTATCATACATAGTGATCTTGTTTGTGTTCGGTGTGCTATCGCAGTCAGCTAGCTGCTTCAACTTGTGCATGTGGCTGTCCGCACTTCGACGGCACGTGGAAGCCAGCGTTTGGTGATTCCCGAATTGTCTCCCAGTTCAAGACTGTGGGGGCATTTTTTTTTTTTTTTTACAAAAAGTTTGAGTCAATTGTGCAATAGTTCCTGACAACAACTCGTAAGAGCCGATATCCTGGAGAGGGAAAACACTCTCAGGAGCCATTTAGCATCCCTAGAGACGCTCGATTTCAGATGACATTCTAGGAGATGAACAGTCTTTCCCAGAGTAGATTAGTTAGCCTCATCCAGTGGTAACCCTCAATGGATGGTGTTCATAAAGCAAGCCAGTCCTCTGGATGACCTCAATCAGTCTTTGAAGCACATTAGTGCAACACACTCCCATCCTCAAGTCTTTGAGAAATCCAATCTAATGCTCCGTTCAAACAAGTGCTCCATTGCCATCGAACCAGAAGGATTTATAAATGGATCCAGTTGGCAGATGTGACAGAGGTCAGATGAAAAACTGACAAATTATTATCTGTCCTATATATAAGATAATAAACCCTTTGGCGATTTGTAAAGGCTGTGGCAGGTTTGAGGGGGAGAAAGCCAGCTTTCTTGCTCGCTTACCCTGTGAGATAATGCTGTTTAGCTACTGTTGGAAATTCACTATTCTCCTCAGCTCAAGGTACGTTCTAACAAGAGGAAATCTTGAATATACAAACAGCAGTTCTGCTGTTAGCGCACTGAAATGACTGTACAACTGGTCCAGTTTGGCGTTGGCGAACCCGCTGGTGCACTGCTGCATGAACAGGGCTGACATTTCGGGAGCATTTCGCTGAGGGACGATTGCAAAGACTGCAAGGACGACTACAACAAAGAGCTGCCAACTACAGGCACGTGGTCCACCATTCATCGTGTGACATCCCCTCTGAGACGCATACGGAGGGTGGGATGGAGCGTCTGTATCGTCCACGCGACAACACCGGGAGACATTTGTGAGGTGACAACGTGTCACTGTGGAATCATGGACCAACTGGTTGAGCACAGATTGACAGAGCTACTTAGGATCCATCTGTCTGCCTGTCTGTGTTACTGTCTGTAGTCAGCGTCCCTGTGTGGTGCTTCTCCCTCCAGTCCAGAATGGCCAAATGTGGTGTTTTTTGAGTCCATCCTGCCATCTCTCTCTAACATCCATGGTGTTATTTCTCTGCAGACGATGCTCCCTCTCCTTCTTCCGCTCCGCCTCCATCCCCTTCCCCTCTCTTCCACTCCCGCTGACCTCTCTCAAATTCCTCAGATGTGCCTCTTCATGTGTAGAGCCAAGTGATCTGACCGCGAGAAACACCTGCAACCAAAGAGAGGGAAACAGAGAACAGCTTGTTAGCTTGTTACCAATGCAGGGGGAAGAAGTTTGTTTTGTCGATTGAGCTAAATGTTGCTGTTAGCTAGTGAGCGCTGAGCCACTAATACACACGCAATTAGTATATGTGTAACTAATTCATAATCAGCATTTTCAGCAGCACTCCTAATGACTTCAGCTGCGCCATGAATAACTAGAGAGCCCACAGATGGATCTGTTGAAACAGTATGGGGGGGGGGGGGAGCAGCACGCAAAACATGTGCTGTAAAACGTTAGCTAAATTAGATGAATCGAAACCTCTCATCTGAAATCAGGCTTACAGAATTGCTGGAGCTGCACAGTGAAAACCTGCTCGAGAAGTGCACTGGCCTATTTTTTTCAGTGAGTTTTTAAAAACGTTTGATTGTGTCAACCTGATTGCCACAAATTGACATAATGTATGCTTTCAGCTGGTGTTTTGTTTATTCCATGCATGCTTGCGTAAAGATGCAACACCCATTATAGGAGACCTACTTTTTCATCACTGCTACTAGATCAACAGTATTTTACTGTTGCATGCTCGCTGAACTAATACTACAGCTCCGTTCCCCAGAGGAGCGCTTTTCAAAAGGCAAGTGTTGCTTTCTTTTAGGTAATTGGGAGCTGCATGCTCTGGTGATTAGTGTGTTAGGAAATATTTGAGATAGAGACTTGTTTTAAAGTTCTAAAGTGGTTTAGTTTAAGAATGTTTGGGAGAAAAAATGAGGCAAGACAGGACAAAATTGCTCCCAAGTTGCTACATTTTCTGAATGTTCTGAATTTTCTGATCAAAAATTATTGTGTTTAAAAAGTCTGGTTGTTAAAGGGTAACTCTGATATTTCTTTTTTTATACTGGACTCTATTTTCCCATGTTTTGTGTTGAAGTAACTCATGGAGATTTTTGAAATTGGTCCAGTATTGAGAAAGATTGCCGCAGCTGCCAGTTGCAAAACAGGCTGTAATATAATGTTAATGGGCAATTGCGCACTGTCAATGTACGTCAATTAAAGTGCTTGTATTTGCCACTGACAGGCCCAGATAGTTATTGTAAGTGTCTGACAATATTATAAAAGGGATCCATACAGAGATATACCTTTTTGTTAAAGAGAAAGATAAAAAAAAACACAACAAAAGAAAACAATGTACAGAGCAATCTCAGAATTGAGCTTTGGATCATTTTTTGATCACAAGAGCAATTGAACACAGCTATCCAAATGAAGATTTTCTTTCATCACAAGTAAGGTTATTGACAAAATTACTCGGATGATACTCATAAAAAGTACACTACCTGTACAGGATAGTCATTTCATCTGAGTATTTGGCTCAACCTTAGTAAAAGAACAACATGTAGACATCAGCATATTACATTAACACATGTCTCTACTTTCTTTCCACATGCACATACTGTTGTACCTCATTCTTCATACTGTTTTACACACATCCCCTGGTCAATATTAACATGTATTTCTTATATTATTTTCATTTTTTCTGTTCTGTAACATAAGAAATCTACTTGGCAATAAAACTGCTTTAGATTTTGACAAAAAAGAAAGAGTAAAATCCCTTTTGTTTAACCAGAAACAGCCCTGACATCACCTTCGCCAAACCCACCAGACTCTAGCTAAATTAACAGTAATTATATCATCATAAAACACACTTCATCAAAGTCAACAGAAACAAAATAAAACTTACAATACCCATCTTGGTTTGTCCTTTATCTGCTTTAACAATCACTAACTCAGGTTTGGTTGAAATAAACCCTTAATTCAACCAGTTAGATGTGAAATAATGCTGGCTCTATGCATGCTTAAATTACTGTTTATTTGAATGGAGTCTGGTGGGTTTGGGTGTGGTGATTTCAGGGCTATTTCTGGTTAAACAAAAAGGATCTTACTCTTTAACAAAAAGATCTATTTCTGTGGAGAGAATAACAATCTGAGCCTGTCAGTGGCAAAGACAAACACTTTTAGTGGATGTAAATTGACGGTGCACAAATGCCCCACGTGGTTACATTACATCCTGTTTCTCTGCTGTCAGCTGTAACACACCAATCGCAAAAATAGTTGTTCCCATTGTTCACTTAGACACAAAAACATGGGAAAATAGGGTCCAGGTTGAAAAATACCAAAGACACCCTTGAAAGCAAAAAAAAAAAGCAAGTTGGTAACCTTTCCTCAAATAAAATAAGGTTTAAAATTAGTAAAAACTTCCCTTAACCCACTCTGTTAAACCAAAAATCATTTGAATATGAGGCCCCAGTTTGGGAGTCAGACTCCCTTTCACAGCTCTGCAACTGTTGATTTTTTTATTTATTTTTTGGACACCAGTTTCAGTTTCCACTGAGACAGAGGCAACTGTCTAAGATGTCTATATGAATCAGTGTTTGGCCAAGAGGGGGAGTTACACTGTGATGAGCCACCAGTCATCTGTCTTACTGTCACACCTGCACGTATATCTGTGTGTGTGTGTGTGTGTCTTCTGCAGTAACACGAGCGTGTGCGCGCTGACAGACACGTGTGAGATTAATGAACGGCTCAGGAGACGTGCAGGGGTGTTTATGTGTGTGTGTTACTGTGAGAGTGTGTGTGTGTGCTCAGTGAGACAGATGGTAAAGTATGAGTCACGACTCGGGGGCATGACACCAGCTGGCACACCGTGGGTCTGTCTCCTCCTCCCCTCCTTCCCCCCATCCTCAATCTTCCACCCCGTCTTCTCTGTCTCCCCTGTTTCCCCTCTTTCTTCATCTCAGCAGGGTGTATGTGTATGTGTGTGTGTGTGTGCTGGGCTGGAGGAGTTGGGCGTCTTGTGACACATGACAGAGGTGGGTCCGAATTAGGGATGTGCCTGCAGGGGGGGTCTGGTGGTGGTGGTGGTGGTGGGAGGTGGGAAATCAGGGATGAGCAGGGAGGGATACTGTATTTACAGTCTGTCCAGCTGAGACCTGATTAAGTTGACACTGCTTGGCCCTCTGCTCCCTCACACACACACACACACACACACACACACACACACACACACACACACACACAAACACACACACACACATGCATGGATGACCAAGACACACACTCTTTCACATACAGTAGTACCCCAGGTGAAAAGTCATTTCTTTTTGTCCCTTCATAATGAAGCCATACACGATTCACGAGATCACATATTCAATAACATGCTGTATTGTGACCTATTATCAAACTGTCTTAGAGGCTGCACACACATATATATGTAT